TACTAGCTTCTTGTTACTACTAGTAAGGCACTTGTTACTAGTAGCGATGCACTTGTTTCTACTAGCTTCTTGTTTCTGTCTGTGTTTCAATATGTCTCAATCAAAACAACACAAAACTCCAAGTGGAAGAAGGTGCCATCAGCTCCACTCATGCTGCGACGACATGTACATGTACTCAAGCTGACAATGCAACCCATGGCCGCAAAATGCAACATCTTCACTGAAAAGGATGTGTTTTTGTTTGTAATCAACATTTGTTTTTATGGTAGCGATGTCCGAGGCCTCAGCATCGTAGTTTTTGCTGTTGTTGCTTTCAAAAGCCAGCAGCACTGTCATGTGACACCCAGTTTTGGGGCACCTGCAAGCCTTGTGAAACGCGCGTCTTTACTTGGGACCAACCTACTAGCAATGGCCTAATAGCAAAAGGAACCTACTAGCGTCTTTACTAGGGACCATATTGGCCATACTCGACAAAATTCCTGTGTCACTCCAACCAAGCAGTACAAGCAAATTGCAAAGATCTCTCAAACAGGGGTATCTACACCGTTGCTATATGATATGCAACTAGCAAGACTTGATCCCTTCATTGCGCTTTTAGCGCGCCATTGTGCGCAATGGATAGCTCATCTGTCGGCAACATGGCCAGCTGCAAAGGCTTTCACTCTGCCAGGCTGCAGCCACGTTCGATCGGGAAAATGAAGCATCACATTATTTCAATTGCATCCCCGAGGTTTGGGAATGCGCTCACCCATGAGGCGACCTGATTTTGTTCACCTGGAATGCGGGAAAACGTGCCGCCCAAGTGCGGTCAAGTGCCGCGAAGCTCTAAGTCTTGCAACATTGGCTGTTCCACAACTGAAAAACAAACATTCCAGTTTTCAAACAAAGCAACTTCTGAATAGCAATCTAAATGCTTCAAGCATGCCCGAGCATGCTTCATGTGATAAGGTCTTGTGCCAATAGATGTTTTCGCTTCTTACGCTCTGCGACTCTGCAAGGACTCACCCGGGCACCGAGCCGTGCCTCAAATCCTTCACTGACCTGAGATCAAGTAGGATCAAGTCGGACCAAGTTACCAACTTAAGGCTCACAAAGGCTTGTTGTATGCCGTGTACTTTGCAACTTGGGTGAAACATGAGAACTGGTGAAGTAGCTCATAGACAGCTTTCACATCCATCCATCAAACACACGGTATTCTGCGCCGTCCATTCTGCGCTCTACACCGTCACCGGCTGATCGCACGATGATCTGATCGCGCGAGATGGACCGCCACCTCTTGGCGAAGGTGGAGGCCTATCTCTTGTCTGAACTGATGCCATGCTCCCTGTGAAATGTATGCTCCAAGGTCTGGGCCAAGGTACTGTCGATTCGGTTGGAGGCCCCTTTTGGTTGAAGTAACTTGTAAGCATTGTAACCGTTTCACGCTAGCACTATGAGTCATCCGTGATCAAACACTGTCTGCTGGTCCACAGCAAGGGTGCAGTTGCTGGTCATGTAGTTGCCATCAATGCCTTACTTAGGAACAACAGCTTGGCTGAAGCATTCGACTGAAAGCGGCACCCTCAGTATCCCTAAGTGGCTCGATATACTCCAGCGCAGCGCAGTGTGGCCAAAAGTGACCCCCGACAAATTCTGTCAATGGATGCTGCACGTTGTAAAGAGTGAGCCTAAATGTCTTCTCACCCCACGCCCAACTTCCCTCTTCCTGGGTGGCTCACATCCTCTGGAGTAGTGATCGCAGCACCAAGACTTCTTGCCCTCCGACCAACCGGCTCTCCAATTCGCAAAGCCTGGAAAGTATACTGACTGAAGCACATGGTGTCAAGCCAGTGTCGAGAAAACAATGCGCACATGGTGTCAAGTAATGAAGAAGTTGCAGTTTTGAAAAGGGGCTCAGGAGATGTGTCCTTAAGAAATCAAAGTGCGGAGCTTCCTTCACCGTACATGTCTGAACCTCCAAAGATTCTTCCCCGTACACCGGAAAAAAAGACAAGAGAAACAACAACATCTGTGTAAGCAAGCTGTCCAGCTGCTAGCCGTTCGACCGACCAAAACACCCACACATTGGCCATCCACGAGTGTCGTTGGCCGTCTCAGAACGTCTTGGATGAGGCCAGCGGCCAGCGGTTCCAAGGACGAGTCAGGGTTGCATGTGTGTGTGTGTTTTCTTTTTTTTGAATCAACTTGTGCATGTAAAACACGTTCACTTTCAAGTCTCGCAGGCGTGACTTGAGTCAATTGCCATGCCTGCGGAGCAATCGTAGGAGTGGTGCTCATCATCCTTGGCATGTCTGCGTTTAAGTATGTTTAAGACATACAGAATCAAAGCATTTGAGTGTTCTTGGCGTGATTCATTATATAATGGTCTGTCAACTCCACTGCTCAGCACTGCTTGTTCAATACCTTTAGTAGCTGACCCAAGTATGAACTTTTGCTCCAGAAGTCCTCAAAGCAACCTCCGGCCTCTTTCTGTTCTGTTTCAGGACGCCAAGCGGCACAACCTACTTGGTGGTGCCAACAGCACCAAGATTTCCTGGGACGTCGAACCCCCACGTTGCGAAGGGACCATCGTGATCCATGTGGACATATGCCATTGCTGCAGGTCATCAAGTGTTCTTTAGAGCTAGAAGCTGAGTGGCCTCTATTTTGGACCATCGACCACCCAAATAGGTCCTTCACCTATCAAAAGAAACGTCCAAAATGGATCCTAGGTCACCCAAAAGGTTGACCCTGCAGCGAACTCCTAGGAGCAAGCCGCTGCAGGACATTTTCTCCGATTCGCAGCTGGAATTGAACGCGAGGTCCATTAAGGTACTGACTCCTGATAGGTTGTCATGGCACCCTCCTCGCAGCAGGTTGTTGCGGACATGGATGTTTTCCCATGAAATTGTCCGGAGAAACTCTGTTGTGAGGCCAGGTGTGGAAATATTCCCCATGAACTCGCTCATCCTGACATGTCTCTTTGGCAATGAACCCATGAGAAATGTAAGAATGATTCTTCAGAACACCGCTTAAAACAGAGATGTGCGCAATGATTCTCAGTGCGACACATGCAAACCTGAAACACCGGACTACCGCCCAGCCGTGTTCGACGAAATGGGTATATGAACGAATGTGTGGTCAAAAGAATGTTGAAACGGACATTTGCTTGTGATTCCGTAGAGTAGCTCTTCAACGGACACGTCGTAGCAGAACTTGAAATCCGGACGACAAACCTTTGCATTTCTCCTGGCAATCGTAGCTGCAGCCCACGTTTCTGTTGCTACAACACCAACCCTGCGAGGGAAAGCCACGCGCGGGACACTCCGTCTCGCGTCTCGGGTCGAGATCTGAAAGCAGACGGGTCGAGAGAACGGGGTCGCCTTCAACATCGAGGGCTTGGCCACCCAAAAGCGAAGGGAAAAGAAAAGGTTTTGACTGCAATGCTCACGCAAAACCTTCTCGACTAACGATCCAAGAAAAAAAAACAAAACAAATTCAGCTGCCTTCTTGTCATCAGACCAGCCGCTCTTCCAATTGGAGCGCCTGTAGTTGGGTCTCTTTATAGGTTGCTGTTCACAACACATTCCATTCCAGGTGTCTTGTCAAAAAGGCGTGCAATGTTACTGCTGGTGGCCCTATCAGTTCTTCTCGAGTTGTTGTTTCTGCATTGTTGCCAGTGATTAGCCGGAACACACTGATTAGCTTCACAATATACAAATGACAAAGGCATGTACCGCTCGTTGTGTACGAGGAGTTTCCATCAAAGGGGTCGGGTATAACTCAAGACTGTGAGATTTAGTTTGGTGATTGTCAACAACCAGGTTGGATGGAATGCATAATCATATAGCTTGTCATAGCTTCTCATAGCTGGGATTCCCCGCCCAGCATCACAGTCATAAGCAGCTGCGTCCGTGGTTTCAACCACTGGAACTTGCTGTTCAACCATTGGCACTTGCTGTTCAACCAGTGGAACTTGCTGTTCAACCACTGGAACTTGCTGCACCACGTGTTCTACCACGTGATGCACCACGTGATGTATCACTGTCACTGGAGCTGCTTCGGTCACCACCGGTGCAGCTTCAGTGACCACTGGAGCTTCTGCCGTGACCGGAGACCCAGTAGGACAACCCAGAGTGTAGGTCTTGCAGCAGTAGGCCTGGCTAACAGGTCAGAAAACAACAAAAAATTAAGCTAAGTGTTTCAGAATGCTTCCCGACAAACTCCTGACATGTTTGCTCACTCAAAAAGGAAGACTTAAACTTGCTGAATGTTTGATTAATTTCTTTAGTCGCAATTTGCTCCAAAGGCTCTTGCCCAATGTCAAACGTCCTGAGATTGCACAAATTGTGAAAAAGCAAGTCCCTTGCTTCAGCTTTGGGGTCTTCGGTGTGTAAAAAACGATCGCTCTTAGGTTGGAGGCCATCGCTCGTAGTCACTTGGAGTCACTCGGAGTCACCGCAAAAAAACTCGCCGTAACGACCCACGTCGACGGTGCCTTTTTTGGCCCAGACCAAAAGTGGTGCCAATTCTTTAAATCCTTTCGGCAGTCAAAGTGCTCCATGTCATCCCTCAGTGATTGATTCCATGCAATCCTTTTTGATCATGGTCCTTCACACAATGAAAACGATGCCAGCACAGAAACCACTTGCAGCCCAAGCACCCTTGGCAACCACGTTGATGGTTCTCGCAGCACCATTCCTCCGAATGTTGTTCCCCTTTTGTTCCAACGACAACCAATCAACTATATAAATCTATTGGTTCGGTGATCCTTGTCTTTATAATTGCCTTCTTGTCCACTTGCATCTCAGTTTGAACAAGAACTGAGTCAATGTTTTTCATTTCAAAGAAAACTGAAAACACACCGACCAAAATCAATATGTCAAGGCAATCGCCAGGCCTTCTTAGACATTGACCAACCCTCGCGCCAATTCTCATAACCAGCATCGCAGTTGTAGACTTCGGCCACTGCCTTTTCCACAGGATCTTTGCACTGGCTTTGAATAAGAAACAATTAGGTTGGAGGCCATTACTATTAGTTTCCAGGCCATCGCTATTAGGTTGGAGGCCATTGCTATTCTGAGGCTCTTGTTGCAGTGCCTTAGCTTTCGGGCACCCACGGTCTTCATGGAGACCTCGCCAGTGACGGAATATTTTGGAATTGCAAGCACGTTTTCTATGGATTTGTGGTCTGACCCGCCCCCCCCTTTACCATTCCAGCCTACAAACTAGGCCTCTGAGGCCCCTGCAGCACCATAGTTTCTTGCGGTCGGACCAGCCCTCCTCCTCAACCCGGACTTGATCAAATTCCAAATTCAATCACTTATCAAATAATTACAGTTGCAAGCGCTCGCTGATTCAAATTTAGATAGGTGATTGTAGGTGTATGCCAGGAATGAATTGTTGCGAGACGTTACTACCACAATATGTCAGAACCAAAGAGATTGACAACTTGACGGTCACGACATGTTCCGTCTTTGTTTCAACCAATTTAGTGATGTCAACAGACTAACAATTAAAAATCATCCACAAGCCAACCGCGTGCTGAGGCCAAAGCCGAGTTGGCGCCTCCGGCAACACAATCAAAGCTGTCGCCTCGGCTCCCGCTGTATCACCGCCGTTGGAAAAGTTGGTGATCAGCCCGCAATTGTCGTTGGCTTCTTTTGCATTTTTTTGGCGCAACGCGCGCATGCGGGTCTTTCTGTTCTGGAAAACCCTGACCTCTTCTTGGGCAGGGAAACGAGGCAAAAGCTTCTCATCCATGGAGGAAGATAGTTGCCCTTGGCCTTTGATTTCCAACTGATGTGTTCGCTTGGCTCTATGGTCTATGTCTGGCGGTTTCTTCGGTGTAGGCTGGTGCACGTGTCAGGCCAAGGGAGGCTCACCTCCCACAATTTCAATGCAGCCCCTCAAAGGTTCATTAACGCTAGACTGAGACTGCTCGGGTCTCAATCATCTTGCATATCCTGAGCTTGTGATGGGTCTTCTGGAGGATCCCAGGGGTTGCGCATGTCCAGCGGCCCATCCTCCTTGGCGATCAAAGCAAAATGGAACATGGTCCATCTAAACATTGCAGCTCGTGGGTCTTTAGGTCATCAATCAAGTGAGTCGAACTTCAACGACAGACTTGGAAGGCTTCGCGTGCACAGTATCTCTGTGTCATGCGGTTGCACAAGTTCCACCATGCTTATGTTTGGGGGGAGTGCGAACATGACTTCTTACATGAACAGTTGCTTCCATTGGGAGCCGATCCGCAGTCTGTTTCCAGCTTTGGTTTGGATATCGAAGGTCTGAACAATGACGCTTCCAGCTAACAAATCCAGACCGGGACAATCTGGGACATATGACAAGTGACAACGAGCAAAAAGAACAACCCCATGCCCCATAACTGCTGGCATGGGCTCTGTCATCACGATCATTCCTGTGATTTCTCCTTAGGGCGTTAGTTAACATCATGGACTTTCCACACAAACAAACTGATGGGAGTCCTCTCGGGAAAATGTACCAGAAGTTCTCTAGACACTAGCGCCTCCAGGTCATAACTTAACGCTCTGCCACGTCTGGTTAGGTTTGCATAATATTCTCGCCGACAGTGACCGATCCCCCAAGAGCCATGTCTCCACATGGAAACACAGCTGTGAGTCGAGTCCAACGTTCAGTCCAAACTTCATGATCCTTTATTGGATGGAACGGCACATCCTCTGAGCCTCTCCACAAACTCTGGCCCGGCCCTTTGTGCCATGAAATGCTGTGCACAAGACAAGCTCTTCCCACTGCAGCTTCACATCCATCACTTTCCAAGAAACTGGCTTCTGCATAGATCTCCTTTACTTCTTCCCAATCTGGACCACCCACCTGTGTACCTACAGTAAGTTTTCCACTCAGATTTTGGAAATGAACATAATCATGCGGCTCGTTGAGTGAAAAACGAATCTCATTGTTGCACCTAGGGACTGTCTGGGTGCTCAAACTGATTGTACAAAGCCAAGCTCAGGCGCTTCCTCAGCTGATTTTTCGCTCATCACAAGAAGGATTCCAGGCGAAGAAACTTGTCAAGTGGAGCTCATCACCCGCCCAAGGTACACTCGGGGGTAGAGCTCCAGGAGCTTCGCGTGCCTCGGGTGTTTTTGGACCCACCGGAACCCATTTTTTCGACCCGATGTCTCGAGTGACGAAAAAAACCGGGCTCAGCTTCAACATGAGCTGTAAAGGGCGGGAACACATGTGGGTGGGACAGTGCGGGTTAGCAACTGCCGAGAGAAACATCCTGCAGCATTGTGCCGAACTCCATTCCAAATCGTTCCAAATGGTTTTAAAAGGTATGCGCAATTGATCCAGTGCTAACCAATCTGAAACAATCTGAATGGTCATGGCTACCCGGCTAATTACCGTCCACTCTCGCAAGTTTGGCCTTGTCACATGTTGTTCAGATTGTGCTTTCTCTCCGCATGCATGCAGCTTGTGCAGCTCTGTCAGAATACTAGCCACTGACAAGCTATCCCTTGGTGGTATGCGCAGCAAGGTGCGTAGCAGGCCGCAGGCCGTCCTTATCTCTGGACCGCTGCTGGATAAAGCTTTCGACTTGCTTCGCCTGCAGGAAATGCTGGACTTGCAACGTGCCTCTTGCTTCGCTCCGTGCAGGGAGGAGCCTGCCTTCGAAGCCAGTAGCTTTCGCTGATTCTTCCTGTGAGACTTCTCCTCCACAAGGATGAGGAGTTTGGTGTGAGGTGTTGAAAAATGTTGAAAACATGTTTTGGCAAGGCCAAACTCAGGACACGAGACCTCTAAAGCTGCTTTGTTGGGAAGAAGAGCTAGAGCTCCGTCTCAAATTGCCAATACGTACTAAAATCTAAGGAAACGCAGCACCACGAGACTTCCCAAATCCTGGGCTGCTCGAATTTAGAACCCCAGCATACCCCCGCCCCTGCGTAGGACCTTGGGCATCACACGGTGGTAAAAGTAGTCATAAGTCATTGTAAACAAACAAATCAAAGTATAGTCTGCAACAATCTGTAATATATATTGAACTTCTTTTGGATAGGGCGCAATTGCTTGCAATTGGTCTTCCTATGTCCTCCTCCTCCTCCTCCTCCTTCTGCCACTTGTCTCATCTCTCGACCGACTCCTCTCCGTCCGCTCCCTCCTCCTCGAGCTTCTCGGCCGCCCTCTGCTGCTCCGCCTTGACCTGTGCCTCCAAAGCATCTTTTCGTGCCTCGTCCTCTCGGAGTTGCTCCAGCAGAGCCTGCACTCCGTTGAAACGGTCATCTCATCTTAACGTGTCTACTCTCCGCATGTCTTGGATATAAATCGTGTTATGCCATGCTTACGCTGGGTCATGTCTCACCACGTGTTGATTGTAAAAAGGCCTCCTGCGGCTTCAAACATGTCTTACAAAACACATCAGATCGCTGTGACTCTGACTTTCTTGCTTCTCCCGGCAATTGGGTTTTTGTTGGTGGGTTTGCGAAGGCTACGTGCCCTGTAAGCCTCTGAATCTTCTGAGACTGTTCAGGATAAATAAACGGTCTGGCCGATCAAAGAACCCTGCAAGAAATGCCCACATCAAGAATTTGTGGCGCAGTCGAATGCCCACACAAGCAGAATTATGAAGTCACATTGTGCAAAGCAGCTTGCATAGGTTGCATAAATGTTGGTAAATGTAGTATTATATTGCGTAATAAATGCAAATATGATAACTTTATAGAACTTTTACATAATTTGAATGAGCGACAGCGTTTTAAATGACAGGAATACAGCCACCGGACAACCTCCAAGCGAATCTAAACATGCCGAGTGATCAAGCGTGATTCATTTAACACAAGTCCAGGAGAGAACTATCAATCTCAGAAAACCAATGACACCGAATCAAATCAACAAAGTGCAGGAAACCAATTGCAGGCCTCTTTGGTGATTGTTGCCTTGGTGATGCTATCATGTCGTGTGCATCAAGCATATGCACTCGTCGATGGGACAAAAACATACGCCGCCTTTGGACAATCCCATGAAAATGATGTGGTACAGTGAGTGCACTCCTGGCAAAAACATGCAAAAACAAACGATCCAGTTCCGCATAGTTGCCCCAAACGCACCCGAGGTCATTGACTTTTATTCCTTCGTTACCTCTCTACATTCTAGTCACAGGGTGTGAAGGTGTTCCCCAATTGCCAATCGTCCCAATCTGGCCACCCAGGGGGACCATTTCCAAAATCAAGGTCTGAACTGGACCAAGAATCATTCTTTGCTTTCAGAGCGTCCAATCTCTCACAGGTGTGTTGGTACCGATGAGTATCGCACAGCACCCGCCCGCAATCACGGCACCAAAAGGTGTCCTCAGCAAATCGGCGCGCTTGGCATGCAAGGACTATGACCCCAGGCCCAAGCTGTTTGGCCGTCGAAAGGGGCAAACTCAGCGGAATTTGGCACGGGGGCTTGTATGATTTTGCCCCGCTATTTGCCACGCAGTTTTCGTAATTTTTTGAACCTGGCACGAATGCGTCCTCCAAACAACTCAAGTGAAGGCCGATACTGAGGAAAGGAACTCTCACATGTCACATATTGATGGGCCTGTGGCATTTGTTTAGGAGCCACATCCCTTTGCGAATTCGACCTTTCACATGGACATCTTTATTTCTTAGAGATCTCCCACCCCGTGCCAACCTGCTGCTCTCTAAAGAATCAGCATCCATCAGAGAAAAGCATCTAAAAAGTGAGGTTAAAAGTATATACAAGCACTAAAGAATCAGACCTGCTCAACTCAACCTCAAAAAAATAACACCATCATTAACTTAATAATCTGACACTCCGTGTTCGAGTCGAACTGTCATGAACTGTCGCTCGAGAAACCTTGCTTTCGTCACCCGGTCACCCTGTCACCTGTCCTGCTCAGTAACTTTGCTTTGTTGCTCAGCAGCTAAACTGTGCTGCCAAGGGTCCATCATGCTCTTGACAATGACCTGGCACTGGGTGGCAGTCTCTGCTACACTACAGTATATGTTTTGCTCGCACAATGAAATCAGCATAGGACAGACACAAACATCTCTCTACACACCATAGGCCACAGGCCCATTTACGCTTCCACATTGTAATTGTTTGGGCATTGGGCAGTCCAAAGCCGGACTGTAAAGATGAGAAACATTCATAAGTCGGGGTAGTGTGTGCAAAGGCAGCCCAGCCACTGCCATGGTCTCTTTGTACTTCTTGGCGAGGCCACAGCTACCAGCGCATTCAGCGCACTTGGTCTTCATGAAAGCCTGGGAACCCTCACCCAAATGCCTTCCTGGACGCTAGGGTAGCATAAAGTGAGTGGCACATCTTGGCAAACAAAGGGAACATCAGGACATCGAGGCGTTCCGCCCGCCTTCTTGTCCTTCAGGATGAGCCCTTCGAGCTCCTCGCATCGACACATGGCGACGCATTCGCGCCTCTGCGCTGTGTGCGACGCAGGAGGCCCGGAAGCCATTCGTGTACAAAAAGACTCAGGTCCTTCCACCACACCCGGAGTCCACCCTGCGCCCTTTACAGAACATGTAGAACATGAGTTCAACATATTTCACCCAGAACCACACGCCACGATTTCCAAACTCGTTTTTTCTTGCTGAGTCCGGAGTCCGGTCCGAGTCCGACCTCGCTGTTGAAGATGCTGCCGCTCGCTACGGTGCCCGAAGCGCTCAGCCGGGCAGCCGCTTCCATGGCCGCTTCCGCTTCCGAGCGCGGTGCGAGTTTCAGGTACTTGAGCCGAAGCGACGCGAAGCGAATAGAACGAATCCCATGCGCGAGCCAAGGCAGTTCCGTCACGACGACATTGACATTGAAGCAGCCAAACCAAAAAAAGAAAACAGCGTATGCCAATGCCACACCAAAGTCCACCAAAGTCCAAATGACTCAATAAAAGTATTCAAATGTCATACACAAACTCAAACCAATTGAAAAAGATTGTTCATCGATGTCACTCAAGCTCAACAAGTGGCATAGGGAATCTCCTAGCTTGGTTCCTCAAGGTTCAGACCAGCTCCGTGCTCACAGCCAATCCCTTTGTTGCTACAGCACCATTCCTTCTTGCCTCAAACGCCATGTTGGCAAATGGCACCAGAACGATTTCGAGCACTATATACATGTTTGATCATGTTTGAGAGGTTTAAGAGGTTTCACATGGTTTCACAAGACTGGAGGCTGTCATGAGGCCCAAACGTGCATTGGTCGCAGTTTGTTTCGCAAAACGATTTGATGCGTGAAAGAATGGGCCCACGGCCAATGGAAGACTACCATGGATGATCCAAGGCCCCAGCCGTGTGACCAGCCTGCACGCATGGTGTGCCCAAAACGGAGAACCCAAAGGATGAGAATCTGCTGCCCAGGCGAACTTCCACGGCGCGTGTCGTTGAGGGCGGAAAAACCATGCATGTCACGTATCTGTCGTTATGAAGTCGTGTGCTATAAAAAGAAGTGGCATGGGAAGTTGCTTTGGCACTCACACAGTGCAAACAGGATCCGCGACCTGGTAAGCAGCCTGTTTGTTGTGTGAGTCGCTAGAGTTTCAGCATGTTTCAGCAAAAGCCCCGCCATGCTGTCATACCAGCATCGGATAGGAAGCGTGGCAGGTATGAAAATGCTTTGCCACTGAAAGATAAGAGCAGAATGGAAGCAATGACCACGAAGTGGTTCGAGTACAGCAGAACCTAGGCCTAGGCAGTCTTCTGAAAGGAAGGTGAATCAAAGTGCTGCATGACAACTGAACCGTGTGTAGCAAACATTAGGGAAATGTGCGAAATGTGCGGCAGTTTCTGGGTGAAAGTGGCAGCCCTGCAGCAGCAGTAGCATAACACTGTGCAAGGTATGTCTTGAATCGTACTTATACTGATACTTATATTTGATCAATTCCAAAATTGATGGGGTCATCAGCCCCACCCTGCAATGTCAAGCACGGCCTGTCTGCCACTTCTGCACTCCAGCAGCACAATCGTACCTGACATGTTCGATTCTCGAAATTCTCACCCCAGATGCGTACAAAAAACATCTCCAGCTATATCATGGGCGTTCATTTGTGGGGGCTATCATGAATGTGCAAAAGGATGACAATAATGGTGGGCTACCATTGATATGAATAGTGGGCGTAAGGAATCGCCCCATGATATGCTTGTTTCCACTTTCCAGATTTCTTTCCTGCAACGCCAGGCCCCACGAAGACGTGAACGCCAAACCGTCCCGGCGTCCCTGCGGCACTTGGACGGGTGGACGGGCACCGAGATCCACATCTAGGCCAGCTGTGAGGTGAAACGGTGCTAAAACTGGCTGTTTGGAGCAAACAACTCATCAATGTAGACTCTGGATGATATTTCAACCTCCTAAACGAAGCGCTTTTTGTTCAATCCAAGTTGGGGAGTTATTTAATCAAGAGTCTACATTACAGGTCTGCAGTCTTTCCAGTGAGGGTCCAATCCAAAGCCCGCAACTGCTTGAGTGAACAGCACAATCAGCCTTAACACAGATTTAATCTAGACACATGCAAAACTATATAATACTATATATAGAATTATATAGTATACGTACACCATTACACTGGATTGCGGCCAATTTGCATTCCCTATAGTTGGTTTGCACATCCCGAAGGCCCATGAAACTGCAATCCCCCCAAAGTAATTCTGGGAGGCAAACAGGCGACATCAGGCGACCCTATTCGTCGTGAGTGATTCCTTTGCGCCTTCACCGGGCCACTATAGAGTGTACTATAGCGTGTATTTTCGCACATTTGCGTGCTGCCAGTGTGGAAGGGTCACACCTGGCTACCTTATGCTACCTCACCGTGAAGCTCCCGTGGAGGCGACCATTTGGTCCTGAGACGTGCGTCCAAGATGCATAATGCTTCCCCTTCGTTGTCGTGACCTTGAGCCGGTGGGTGGGGCATCCTTTTGAAGTCCTGAACATTCCTGAACATTCCTTTTGAATGAACGAAAACGCTCATGCCAAGAGCAGGCCGAACAACCAGACATAGATTCTTCCAAGCACCTATCCCAAAAAGGGTCCTGTCTGGTACAGTGGGGCATGGAAAGCAACTAAACACAAGTGCATGTGTTTCCCTTGGAAGAAGCGTTGAAACTCGAACCTTGGAGATCTGATGGAATAACTTGTAAGAATAGCGAGGTCAATGGCCTCCACACCAAGAGCGATAGCCCAATAGCCAAATAGAAGCACCCCAATTGACTGAGACTGATGACCAACTCTGGGATGCCTGCTATGTGCCCTGCAGGCAACATAGAACCCCGTGACAAGTTCCGTGCCCTGAGCATCCCGACCGTTGTGGAAGGACACCTGGGCCGTTTGACTCTTTTCAACTTGGGTGTTTGTGCGGTTTTCACTTGCACCTGCGATCCGTTCGTGGGGACTCTGGATCTCTACTTACTGCTGTTTGCTAATGTTTCTATCTTTTCCGAATGTTCTCAGCTACAGGCCCAGTGTCATGATGCTCACAACACCATTCTTGATGAGCATCGGACCTGGACACCATTGGGATCCATTCGGGATCGCTGAACACCGCGCGCGTGTGTCACATCTCTGCACCCACACGAGTCGACCAAACCCGAACGCAGTCGACCATGTTTGGCGACGCTACGAACGTAGCTCCAAGTGCCTTAAGTACTAGCACATCGCTACGAACGGAGCAAGAAGCTACCAGTAGCTCCTGGCATTACTACTGGTAGCATGAAGCTGCTACTACTACTACTACTCCTGCTACTACTACTACTACTACTACTACTACTACTACTACTACTACTACTGTAGTAGCTATTCGCTACTAGTAGCGGTGCACCTGTTACTAGTAGCGGCGCATGTTCCTCAAACAACGACACGTCCTGAGCCACTTGCCACTTTGTCATCCATTCACTTGTGTAGGTGCAGTCGTAGGGAAGCTGAATCTGATCGTGCCTGGCCAATCCACCCTTCCTCAAACTCACTCTTAAACAAATGGCTGGAAACTGTTGCTCATATATTCATCCTGCTCCTCTCATCGCACTCGTGATCTTTCATGACATAATACTACGCGCGATGACTGACTGATGTGATCCCGCTTCGTTGGACGGTTGCGGTTGCTGGTCAAAAGTTTTCCCCTGTCTTAGTTCATCCTGAGTGCCAAGCTGTTTTCCAGACCAGTACCCATGAACTGCGTTCACATGAGGTGCCAGGTGCGTTTGGTAGGCGTCGGATGCCTCGGGTCGTCGGATGCGTCAGATAGGACCAGTCGCATGAACCTCTGCTGAATTGATGCCACTCCATTCAGCATATTGTGCCCTCGGCCCAGGAATGGGCCGCATCCACATGCCTGAGACATGAGATTTGGAGCAAACCACTGGAAGCCAATGGGTCCCGTTTTCCGGTATAAAGCTAAAAGCTCCTCGGACCTGTTATGGTAATGCTAGAAATGGACATCAGGTTTGAACTCAGAGGTCGACCCCTGCAAGTGCTGCTGGTACACGTTATGGGCCTCGATCACCACCAGCATCTTATGGCAAAGTGACTTGTGCCAGCTCAACCCAGCTCACATATGATTGAATAGGATTGAATAGAAAAGGGCTTTATATATTTTTATATAACTATAAATATCTATAATAAATATGTAACTGTGACAGCTGTGACACTGTGATGCCCATAGGGCTTGGTCAGCAGAAGAAAATAGGCTACCCTGCCCAGTTGCCCGCGGTGCTAAGATGCCTCAGCCATATCAAGTCGTGTTGCGCTCACTTCTTGTGGGGCTTCTTTGCATGGTCACTCTCACAGGCAGCCCAGAGGCATTCCAACAGAAACACATTCTCAGTGCCGGACCCCCCTGCTGCTTCCACGTGGCCTTGCAAATGCTGCTGGTAGGTATCCTCCACCTGGCTTTCTTCGAGCAAATTGACAAAGCCCAGTGGCCCATCCAACTCTGGCTGGGGCCCCAGCCCACTGTCCTGCAGCATTGAAGTGCCTGCAGAAGTCGACCCGGTCCCCTTTGAACGAAGGGTTCAAAAGCCATGCGAACGTAATTGATGAAAGACAGTGCCACACGTGGCTAATGTAAACCAAATCTAATCTGCCTGAACCAACATGATCACAATTGATCACAACTAACTAATGGCAAGCATGATTAAGTGGAAAGTCTATGGAGCAAGACCATGCACAGCTCAGCCATGCTCAGTCACGAACCCCTTCAGGTGCTGCTGATATGCACCATGTGCCTCCAAAAGGGAAAGCGTGCGAGAGAGCGCAGGCTTATTCTCGAGTAGTTTCCAATATGTCTCTTAAGTGCTCGTGGTGAAGCGGTTCTCTATCTTGCTTTGGATTTGGCTCTTGCCAAATTGATCTAAATTGCAACGAATAACAAGGACCAAATTGAATAGAAGTCAGAACAGCCGATGGAAGAAACCCAAAAAGGCACTGGGTGCCCCCACCCACTGCCCGGCAGCTTCTGCATGCCTGCTCAAGCACTCGTTTGCATTCTCTACTGCAAGCCTGTGAAATTATCATTCTGTGATATGAGATGTCGGTGGAGCAAGAACCTCACATGAGTTTGTACCACCATTGCAAGCAAAGGCTCAAGTGAGCACGACAAAGTGTTTCGGGCTTCAGCAAATCAATAATGAGCAATCGGCTGGCCCATGCCCTCCACATGCGGCTGCAAGTGAGTCTGGTAGTTCATTGTAGCCTCTCAAAGCACAGAGCGTGGATGAATATTGGTGACTACGGTGGCCTCGCCATGCACATTCACATCCACACAAAAAACATCAGAAACACCTGTGGTTGTCTGGGCTTGTCCATTCGGCGCATTGTCAATTGTCGCCAACGTCTAGGGCACGAACCCACCCACGAGCATCGCGCATCTCTTCTGGTGCGAAGTGTAACAAAGCCGCCTCAGTGCGAGGCAAAGTGCCGCTACTGCTTCAGTTGTCAACTGCACACACGGCTGATCCCCAAAGACCGCGACTGTAGCGATCATCAAGCAAGCCAGCAGGCAGAAGACAACCTCAAGGAATGGCTGTGTAGCTGGTCGGTAACCACATGAATCATCCAGCTACGGGTATTTGTTTGCTACTTGCTCTACCTATATCAGCCATTATCAGCCTATATCAAACCCAACACGCAAGTACCCTCACCCAGCTACTTATAACTTATTGTGCCCTGGTTATGTATGGTGAGCGGCTACCTCCGGGACAATTGCCAAGTCGTGTTTCCAACCTGCTTTAAGAGGCCTATGTCAATGTCGGCTGGACATGCCATCCGGCATTTTTACGATCATCTCCCTAATTAAATAAACAAGTGCCTTACTAGTAGTAACAAGAAGCCACTAGGAACAAGTGCATCGCTATTAGTAACAAGTGCCTTACTAGTAGTAACAAGAAGCTACATTGTGCTTCTCGTCCCTTCTGCCGCACGTTTTGCGCCTGAACTAGCCCACCCGCTGGCGAACAAGACATGGATGTTGGATAATGGATTCCTCCAGCTCTTGCTGGCAAACGCAGATCCAGTCTCCTTGCAACTGAGCTTCCATGAAAAACCTCAACGGCACTGAGATGGAGAAAACAAAGCAACTCAATAAGCAAGTCTCATAGTCTGTCTTATAATCCTCCGACGCTACGCTACACGTTTCTTTTGGGTTGAATGCTTCGAACAACCACCAAAGCAGCTGGGCCAAAGCTCTGTCTCATTGATGGCGATGCTTCAGTCACCCCCTAATTGACTAATTGACCGTAGCACTGATCGTATTGGAGGCGGTGCCTGGACCAAACTGAGCAGCAACCATCGTCTCCACGCGAAGGTTGAACCTCAGGGAGAGACGAAATCATGCAAAAGAAAGCTGTGGCGAGGAAGCAAATTAAATCGCAAATGAAGTGGCTGGGAAAGTGATGTGTTCAAACAGTCGCTTTTGCATCGTCTGCACTTGTCCGATCCCAATGACTCAAGAATTAAGCTCGCAGCAGGGCCATATGGATAGCCTGCGCCGGGACAGATTGACCGTTGATCCCTGAAGAAGCCGCACATGTGGCCCCTGCAAGCCCTTACCAGCCCAGGTGCCTCCAACCATAGCTGGCGCCCTATGAATTGGAGGTGCGTCAATGTGAATGGCTGAACGGTGGGATGCTTTGCAGTGCTGAGACTTTCAAGGAAGATATGTCGAGTCGTGGAGCTGTGGTCTGAGACTGAGCTGGCCAAGCGGTCGGGGGCAGTCGAAGTCGTCTGAAGGGTGAGGAGAGAGCATGTCGACAAGCTCGGTCAACTTGGAAAGGAACCACCATTTCCTATTTGTTGTGTACTGCGAGTAGAATTCAACAACTCATTGCCATGGCGCGCATGCGAGATTCCCATTCAACTCAACTCTCCTTTTTTGCTAAAGGAGCGGCCTTTTCTCGACTCTTTAAAGGTGCCTCATCACTGCTGCCAGAGGAAGACAAACAACTAGTGGCAGTGTCCTGTGCTGGCAGGGCACACGGTGCCAGCAAAACGTGCCTCAAAATTGAAGCCAAGAGGGGGATCTCACAGTTCATCGTGAAATGTTCTGACGGTCAGACGCTCTGAGGAGCAGATATTTATAAGCCCAGGACATGCAGTGAAAACCCAGAAACTCCAGACTTCAAATTTGATGCCATTGGAAGCCACCAGTTGTGGCAAGCCACCTGTGCCATTTTTGGGTTGGCTGGGGTCAACCTTAAGATCGTCGGATCAAGCTTCCACCTTGATGGCTAGCTTTCATTGGTCGGCCCCCAGGTGTAATAGCTAGCAGTGTAGCAGTTCAAATGGCTCCCGCAATTTGCCAAGCCTCGGGTAGCCGATCTACCAGCTTGTCTCAACCCGTGTAAAAGGCTAGCTTTAGGATCTTCAAAATCAGACTACCCGAGACTGCTGCACGTGTCTACTTATGCACAAGTATTGCGCGACATGCAGAAACAATGTGCGAGCAAATATGCATGACGGGCATTGTAAGGTAGATTGAATCTACGTGTTGTTTACTTGCACTAAATTGCTTCTCCATGGTCACGCTACCCAGGGACATTGACCTGGAACGAACACCAAGATGCGGGAACAACTCCAAAACAAGTCTCGATTATATTCGCGTCTTGGCTGCCTTGACCTCTCGGTGATGTGGCCAGAGCAAGCATGGCTCATGGCCAGGCCTCCTTCCAAATCAATGGCTTCGCCGGCCTCATTTGGCAAAGTGCTTGAAATGCTCAGTGCTTTGGGTGCCAGGCACGCCCAAGCCGCGGTGGTCTATACAGTCGCTGGATCCGCGGATCCTTGGCCCCGCATTGGGCTTGGTCTTCACTCTGAGGGGCTCAAAATCGGAAGATCCGGTGCTCTGAAGATGGGCAGCGGGGCCCTTCCAGCGTGGTCACAAGTAAAGCCCGGTTAATGCAGTATGGCAGAAGAAACAAACCGCACTGTCATACTGTGAAACGGCCGTGAATGGCTACCGCTGCCACTGACCTTTCAGAACCCGTGCCGAGCTTCATGTCCAGGGAATTTACATGAACACTCTCTTCAAGTCACAAGACCTGATTGCAGGTCTAATTTTCCATGTCAACAGGCCACTGGTAGCTCCATCAATCAAATCCAGAACAGTATACAGTACGTATATGCGCGTATATGTACGTATTTTCTAGATTTATATGTTGTTTCTCGTTGTTCTTGTCGCGTGAAATGTCAAAACGCTATTCCACAGCTGTAAGCTATTGTTTGGCTCAAACATGCTGAAACGCAGTCCAAGAGCATTGTGTTGGGCCCCTCAAACGGCCCCTTTTTTTGGTTGGTCAAGCAGCTGCAGGGTTTCTCCGTGGTTTGGTCTGGTGCGGGGTCAAGGTCGACCTTCCGGCGGGCGGTTTGATCACTTCACGCGTTGGAAACCGATCGACGCCCGATCAAGATACTTGGCTTTTGAAACCCAACAAGCACAAACCTAGACCTTGGCAATTGTTTGGAAGCACACCTCAACTCTGAACAGTTTGTTACATACCCAATGGAAATATGTCTTGTGATCTGGACATTGCCTCCGTACAAATACGGATCAGCCGCGAATGGGCCGCGAATATGCTTCTAAGACATTCTAAGACAACATATGCCCAGGCAAACGCAATGACGGGACATGCCATTGAATATATATAATTGAATCCATGCATGTTTCTTGGATTCCAAAACGTGAAAGTAAAAGCAATCCCAGGTCACCCTTCGTCGCATTGTGCTTTCAAGCAGGTCATCCTACTGTCTTCAGTCATGGATTCGAGGCCGTATCAATTTGACCAGCTCGGCCGTCCGGTGGAGCATGGCAAATCTTCCTCGCTTTGCACTAATGAGAGCCGCACCCATGTAGCCAGAAAATGTCCAAAAAAGACTTGCCTTACACCCACTATTGAACTTTGGAACAAATGCGTTCTTTGGCTCAGCTCCTGGGCACATTCTCAATGTGGCAGCGAGTTTGCAAAACTGGAAGCTGTGCGATCTACTCACTGCCAAACACCATGCGAGCACTTCTTCGGCGATGACAAGTGGCTTTGATCCATTTCAGGGGTTATGTGTATGCCGATAGGGGCCAAAAGGGAACAAAGTGTGCACACATGGCTTATGTTAAAGGGTTTTTTGCACTCCGGCACTTGTTGGTCAGGAAGAGCCCAAAAATTGTACACCTGTTACATCCACATCATGGCCCGCCGCTGCTTAAGTCAAGCAGTGTTCAGCACATCCAGACTTGTTGCTGGTGGGTTGGCCATGCTTTGCCATGCAGGAGGTTTGGTCACAATCCTATGAACACAGTCTTATAAGTTCAAAAAGTCAATTCAAAAAAAATCAAGCAACCAGCTGCAGGGAAGCGTCTAAAGTCTAAAGGCCACTATGTACAAATCATGCGCCCACTGCACTGTGGCGCACCCGAAGCAAATTCATCAAACATGGGCGGGAAGCCAACTCAAGCTCCTTGCATGCACTGCTTGCAGCCTGCGGAAACCATGTGGCCGGGCTGAGACTGGGTAAACTGAGCGGGTGTGTCGGGTGGTAATTAGCTGCAAAGCTTGCCACGTTCGGCAAATACAGGTAAAATGTAAAACAGACAAAGCATGTTGGTCACCATTCAAACTCAATCAAATGGCCTTTGGAATCCAAGTGACAGAGAAATTCCGTGGCAATATTTAAAATTTGGTGTGCTCTTCTAAACTCCTGGCACTTCCACAAAATGCGACCCACCTCTTTAAATTGGAACGAAACGATGCAAAAGGCCTCAGCTTTGCATTGTCTCAGGAGGTTAGGTTAGACAAGTCCGTGGTTAAATATACTACTGACATCATGACTTTTAGTTTTATGACACATCCTTTGGCCAGGCTGTGGGCACTGCTGTGGGCTCAATCTACTCGCCATTAATTACAGACTATCCGTTTGGGCCAGCTGAGGCCACCCACTGCGCTAAGAGCTGCAGGGCGTAGTGAAGGCAAGGCTCCAATGGCCTCCGAAAACGATGGCGTTGTTGGTCCTCAAACTGCTTTAGTCCAGTGGGAGATATGGATGGTTGATGGCGGTTGCGGGTTCTCACCGGTAGAGCTCAATTTCCCTGCACTTGCAAGCAGCGGGCCTCGTCCAGCCTCCTAGGGGTAGAGAGAAAGGATGAAAATGGATGAAATCAGCAGAAAGTACTGCATAAAGTGTGTATACCGTGACTTGCATGAATGCGCTCGAGAATGATTGCTACGAAAACTAAACACACCGCTCCAGAAGAACTGCTTCAAGACCAGTTTGGCTTATTATCTGCCAGCTAAGGTCTTTCTGGCTTTGTCCGTGAGGCTTCTTGTCAATTTCAGTTTCAGAACTGCAGTAACTAGTTCGATGATGAAACATGAACGTCAATTGAAAAGATGTCTAAGCTCATCTAAGCTCCAAATTGAAATGGAATCGGAAACAATACTTTCATAAGGCTGCTTGCTCCTCCCTCCGTTTACAGGTCCTCTGTCTCTGTTGTTGCATTGACGCTTCCTGCCGGTCAGTGCGTCAGGTGCACTGCAGTGACTACGACAGTGGTACAGGAAAGGAGATCAGCCTCACACACAATAGCCTGCTACCAGTACTATCGAAGCTACTGGCCGCAGTGCAAGCAAGAAGTATTAACACGTCCGCAGCTAGTGGAGACTTCTTCAGCTGCCCCAAACTGATGTACCATTTTCCAGCAACCAGTCTGCTGATGTCTCCTTCAAACTTACAGTAGTTCCTTTGCCGCTTGTGCCTCGTCCTAAGGGTGCTGTTTCACCATCACTGGGCCTGAGTGGAGCCGTGCGATGCCTTGCATAGCCCAACCAAGCTAAACAACGCCCATCAGCTTCCGGAACCACGGTCTCCAACGAAGGAAAGGTCTTGCAAATGCTTCAAGTCTGCGAGAACCACTTCCGCGAGAACCCTCTTTTTCATTCTGCCAGGGTTTCTCCGCAGCAGCTTTTCTTGCCTGATATGCTGGGGGGATCTGGGGGGAGTCAAACGGCGAGAAGTGAATGGCCTACACTCACCGTTTCATATGAAGCGGCAAGTCAGCCGCATCCAGCTCTGCGTGCTTCGTTGAAGACAAACATCTTGTTCAGGGCCTAAATGACTGCTCTCAACCTCACCTCCATCTGAAGCAGGATGTCGTTGAGGTGGTGCACCATCTCAGTTTTCTTGCATGCAAAGGCTGTGCTCAGTGTGCTCCAGGGATAGATCACAAGAACCAATCGTAGAACTTCCGGTCGTTGATGAACTTATATAAGATTGTATATCGTTGTACAATATATAAATAAATATATATATATATAAACTCTTCAGGGCGAGGCCTTGTGCAAGGCAAACCTGCTGGCAAGCTTGAGGCCTCCCACCAGGCCATGGAGTTCAAAATGGGAGTGGCTGGGTAAAAAATGGAAACGAGATGAAACGAGCAAGCATGAAATTCAATCCATCAACTTAATCACACTCTGGTAAGCAGTTGTGCAGAGTTATGCAGTTGCTAGGGTAAAGAAGGAAGGAAAAAGGGCAAAAGAACACTTAACATGTCTTGTACAGAGAACAGAGCGGTCATTTCTGCACGAAAGGCTCTGGCGCAACCGTGGCCTCTTTGTGCCAAGGCGTTGATAG